GCACAGCGCCAGGCAAAATACAGTTTTAGATCCAAATACAGATGACCAGACAACTCGACTGCAGTCAACTTGTGTTCTTCCTCACATATGGCCCAGTGCAAGTGTTGGGGGCTGTTCCTTCTGCTGCACCCAACTCCACCCCATGTCAGGATTATCCAGGGGCCACTGTGGCCTCTGACCCATCCCTCTCCACCTTGGAGTTTAGGTTGAGTGGGGGTGGGGGGAGAAGCACCATGGGTTTGAGAAGATGGTCTGGTCCATGCAGAGCGTGGTCTGGCTCTAGAGTGCAGGGTAAGGAAACGTGGGGAGCCATCTGCTATTGTTGGCAAAAATGGTTGTATTTACTATTCAGCACGTGGCACCCAAGCCCAAGGCCAACTCCCCAGACAGAGCTGTCTTGCCTAGAGCAGAGGCTACCATTTTGCTTCTGCAAGTGTCTCATTGTGTTTAGAGAAGCAAGGAGGGCCAAAGGGCAGAGATGACAAAGTTCTTTAGGCCTTCACATTGCGGGGAGATCGTCTGGCATCAGCTCCTCCTGGCAGGCGAGGTGCTTCTCACCAGCAGCCAAGGCTCCATCCGGGCTCCCAGGCCTGCTGAGGACCTCGAGTCACAACAGAAAGCAATGCCCAAGACCCCTGAGCTGTCAGAACACTATAACAGGGAGCTGGCTGGGCCCATTACAGCCATGGCCGGAGCAGGAGTGAGGTAACAAGGCTGGGCAGAGAGGTGGGAAGGGAAGCTCTCTACACCATGTGCAAATTTCTGCCTCCATATCGGGAAGGCAAGGGTGTTAAAAGATGCTCTTCCAGAAAAACGATCCCCTAGGACTCAAAACGCATCTTCTGGAAGAAAACATAGAGGTGGAGGGGAGCGGTACCAGCCTGCTGGGGGTTGGGGGATGAGGGTCAAGGAGGTCAAGTGGTGAATGTGATGATTGTCCCACAGCCTAGCAACAAGGGGTGGGGAGGGGACAGTCAGGAAGAGAGGTTCTCAAGTTTCTTACTGGATGGAGTGGGCAGTGGTATGGGAGTATAAGGAGGGACACCACAGCCCTGCCACCTGGGGGAAGAGAGGAGAGTGCTGTTCCTTCCAGTGGGAAGAGTGGCTTTGGCTGCCCTGTAGGGCTAAAGAAGCGGCATGGTATGGCACAGAAGGGACCCTTCTGGGACCACCAACAGCCCAGAAAGATTCTTCTTCTAGTTGTTTCCCCATGATCTCACCCTCGAGATGCTGCCTGCAGGTTGTAATGGGCACAGTCTAAGGCTTGGCTGGGGGGTGGGGCATGCAGACAATCTACTTCTAACAAAGCATCCCTCTTGAGGTCTCTTGGTCCTCCCCTCTCCTTATAATCCCAGGTTCTCTTAGTGCCAGGGCTCTAAGGCAACCCGAGGATTTCAGCAAAAGCTTCACACTTAATCCAAACCCCAACAGGATTTTGGCTGAGCCAAAAGAGAAGTGCTAGAACTGAAAATGGTTTCTCTCTGCGGTTTCCTCTAGAAAGAAGGATGATAGATGAGACTTCATAGTCTAGGGACGAAGATTAGTTGAATTGAAGATGGTGCTCTTCTGGCCATTATCCTCCTTCTCCTAGCTTAGAGAAAATCCAAAGGAAGGTCCCTTAAACCAAGACTAGGCCAAAGGAGGAAGAAACACTGTCCTAGGTTAATACTGGGCTCTCTTTCTCTCTCACTGGGCTTCCCCGGTCCTCCCAGCCCATAAAGAAGAACGTTTACCTACCCTGGATTTCCTGGGAACCCAGGTACTGGCCTGCCACTCAAGTAAATACCAGGGAGGCTCTAGGCCAGAAGGCTTGTTCCCTCCTGGCAGGACCCTTTCCAAGTCTGAGAAAGCCCAGTCTTGTAAGCCTCTGGCCTAGCTTCCCTAAGACAATGCCAAAGCTAGAACCTACCTTAGAAATAATCTAGCCCAAACCCTGTAATCAGTGTTACAGATGAGAGCGCTGACGCTCAGAGAGGGGGAGTGGCTTATTCAAGGCCACAGAGCTAGTCAATGGCAAAGCCAGGACTCAAGGCCAGATCTACTGACTCAGCCCAGTGCTCCTACAGAGCTTCAACTTGCTGATCTTGCTGGCCTGGGATGCTATCCCAATGTCCTGGGGAGGTGGGTGAGGGAGGAGGGAAAGTTGCAGACATGACTGGCATCTCTTTGGCCAGTCTTATCAGTTCCTCCACAGTAAGCTGGGGTGGAAGTTTAGACCCTCTAACTGTTCTTCACCGGGTTAGAAACTGCAGGTTCTTTGAAAGAGGGTGCAAGCTCTCAAAAGCTTTACCATATGAATCCTGGCATAAAGTACAGAATTCTTACCTGAACAACAACAACGAAAAAGCTCTGGCTGGAAGAAATAACCTAAGAAGTGGTGGTTATTGTGCTCTCTGGCAGATAGCTACTAGCCTGGGCTACTGGCCATAAGTTACAATGTTATTTATTTGTTTCACTCCCAGACTTATCTGCAAGGGTTAGCTCCCTTCTCTTTCACAGGTTATTGGATAAGATTGTAAAGCTTTTGTTTGGGAGTGAAAAGAGTTGTTGGTTTTCTTCTGGCTTGGGAGTAAAAAAATTAAATCAAAGAAAGCCCTCAAGAGATTGCTGAGGGCCATTCACTATGTGTACCCATTGTCTCCTGGGTTCAACTCACCAGAAAACATGGGGGTTCCTCTGACATGCTAAGTACCTCCACCCTTGCCACCATCACCGACACCTCCCCTGAATGGTCCTGAGAGGTAAAGCAGGAGCAGAACAACTCTTTGCAACCAGGTCTCGTATTACCCTACTCCCAGCAAAGAGCCTCTTCTCAGCCATCCCCAACGTCCCACCTTTAAAAATTTAATAATTTAAATAAATAACTAGGTATGAAATAAATCAGGAGGTTTCTCATCTTTGCTTTCAGAAGTTTCTGGGAATAATATTGGCTTCTGGCTATGGCCCACAATGACAACAACTGGCTACGCCAAGGGGGAGATTTCTTGCCCGTCTGCATACACCTGCTTCTCTGGCTCAAGTCCCATGAGCCTTGACACTTACTGGGCACTCTCACTCGAAGTACTGGACAAGAACGGACTGCCCTGTAGGCATATGCAGCCCTTCCAGGGGTTGCATTTAATTCCATTTCCTTACATCTCATTTCCTAGGAGAAGGCTATCAATGCTTGCTGGCTACCTGAAACCTTCTCATCCTAATCCCCAGGGGATGTTTTGGCCATGTACCTTGCTGTCTTTTCATCCCTGGCAATACAAAGGCCATATCCTTAGAGATTAAAAAGTGAAAAAAAAAAAAAAGAAAGAAAAATTCTTTAATTGTCAAAGTGGGGTGATCAGGCTACTCCAAGGGAAGAACACAACTTTCTATACGTTGGGGTAGATCAGTGACAAAATCCTTCTTCCCTTGTGCTGATGTTCTGGGACCTTCCTTCTGCTCCTTGCATCAAGAGGCCCAGGAGAAGAGTAAGCAAACTTGAAGAGTTCTCATCAAATTGGCTATGATCTTTTCCTTATCAAGAATCTCTGTCAGCTCTGCCTGGGGTGGGCAAGACTCCTTTTCTCATAATGTGGAGAAATAGTAGTTAGTGTAGGAAGGATGATGAATGTGCCAGAAAGGCTCCAGGAGATCAGACAAGGCCCTGGATGACTCATTCTCTTAACCAAACTTCTTTCTACTCCTTAATGGTCTCACATCCCTCAGAGGCCAGAGACCAAACAAGACTTCTTTCCTCCTGCCAGAACCTCCACTCCCAAGTCTGAGAATTGGTGATTTGGATTGGGCCCCAGGGGCAGAAACTCCATCTGGTCTTTTCCTACTCTGAAGACACACACTTTTGCCAAATCCACTCCCTCCAATGGTTTAGATCTTCTTCCTTGACTAAAGTTGATTCTTCACTGAGAGTAAATGATGCTGGCAACCAACCGAGTGGTTTGGATACTGGTGCTCACTGTCAAGACGGCCCACATGGGATTCTGTGGTAGACCCTACAGCCCACACATTGTCAGGACATTCACTCTCTCAAACCCTAGAGAGACTAGGACTCCCTGACTCGTCCTGGCATTCAAAGTGAGAGCTCAAAGAGAAGGAATTAGAGCCTGACTTGCTTATAACCACTAAAAGAGGTTTAACAAGATCAAAAATGCTCCACCCTGGCTAATAAACAATGTGCTCTTAGGGCACAGAGAAACAATAGGACTTTAGGCACTAAAAAGTGACACTTCACCCAGATCCAGCCTGGGCAAAGACCAGAGAGAAGGGGGGTGGGAAGTAATACATTCCCAGCCCTTATTGGGTCCAAACTCTACACAAGTTAGAGGAAGATGCAAGGGGTGAGCAAGGAGAACACCTTTCAAAACACAGATCCTCAGGAGCCTGTGAAGACAAAGCCCAGGCCCACAAGTGCAGCCTTCCTAGCTTCCCAAACAGTCCTCTCCACGTGACTTAGTTTACGGCCCATAGAAAGTGCATGGCCTTCTGTGGTAGAGTTTAGATTGGGCTCTTTCTGCCCTTGATGCTTCCATGTTCACAACAGAACACCTGGGGAAGCACGGGGTGGGGAAGAAATGATTATCTTTTATTTTGGAGACAAATCAAAGGGGATTAGGGAATGAAGCACCTTAGCAATGCCCCCTTGAGACTTCTTTTCAGGACCCCAGGGTCTCCACAGGCATAACTTTGGCTCTGCAACATTTCCCTTCTAAGAGCCAAGATGGGCCAGGAAGGGAAAGGGTGGGGGACAAGGGGCGGGGAAGAGGAGGACCAGGGGAGGTCAGTGCTGAGAGGTGGTCCCTGCCCTCCTCGGCCCCTCCACCAAAGGAAAGCATTTTCTCCAGCCAGAACAGGAGGCGGTCCCACTCCTTCTCCCTGGTACGTAGGCATTATCTCTTTTTAAAATCTGTATATAATATATATATATTTATATTCTGTATATATATATATATATATTTATATATATATGGTCTATGTACATGTATTGCACAGGCCTCTTGCAGCCACCCCTGTTCCTGCCTTGTCAATGATAGCGGTTCCTCTTCTCTTCACTCTCTGACATGTAATCCCGGGACCTGATGCCGTTCTGAAGATTGATGAGTGAGTCTTTCATCTGTAAGACAGAGGAACCCCACCCCAACCATGGGTTTGTGCCCTCAGGAAGCTTCTCCAACTAGCAGCACAAACCAGGCCTACTGTGGCAGGTCTCCGACCAAGCCAGGGAGCTACAGGGATCTGGACTCCTAAAACAAGGGTGGCTCTCAGGGGCAATATCTCAGGCAGAAAGCGGACAGGCAATCTCACATTGGGAACCCTGAGGGTAAGGTTCCCTGTGTCTCAATCATTTGGGGCCCTGTGTTACTGAATTAAAGACTCTCTCAAAGGTTCATTCTGATCTTGTCAAGGAGCCACATTAGACTTATTTGAGCTTCTTATTTCCAAAAAGAACATTATCTTCATGTCAATTTGGTTTCCCCGTTGATCCTGAATATACTGTACTCCTACCTTTGTGCACTTTGCCAGACTGTTCCTCCAGCCTAGGATTCTTTTCTTTCTTCCCTATTCCAATCTCACCTATCTGTTAAGACCCAGAACAAGTCCACACTTTCTCTGGTTCACAATCACATTTCTCTGTCCCAGCTTCTCATGGAGTTTTACAGTAAGTCTAACCCTTCTTCTACCTGTTGGACCTCTGAAGACTATCCTGACCACCCCACCCCCCGTCTTCACTTCTGCAGGGTACTTCTTCAATATCATCAACTCTTCTTGATATGATGGGGTTTCCAAACTCCTCACTATGCTGGTTTAAAAAATGTCCTCCTTAAACATGACTCCAAAGCTAAACATAATATTCTAAACATATTAAACTGGATCCCAATGGCTACTTTAAGACTCCCTCTCCTCAATTTAGAGCTAAGACCAAAATAGGAAAGGGAAATAAAATTTAATATCTATGAGTACCTTCCATGTGCCATGTGACAGCACTGTCATGAGCCAACAATTCCCATTTTATAAATGAAGAAATAGAAGTGCATTAATATTAAGTCCCTTGGCTCACAGTCACAAAGCTAATGAGTGGCAAGGTTGGGATTCCATCTCAGGTCTGGCTGATTGCAAGACATTAGAAAGATGCTGCTTTAGGAATAGAAATTTTAATGTAACAGGACAAATTCACTTCCTTATCTTCCTAATTCTCTTACATAGCAAAGATAGGCTCCTGCTGTTTTGGCAACCATATGGCAGCACTTTTTGTAAGATGTTAAATTCTTCTGGGGAAGGAGGGAACCCCCTGACAACAATAAAATAAAGCTAACTATTGATTTTGCCCTAGGACAATGTTCTTAAACAGCTGGATCTGGTTTTTAGGAGGAATAAAGGGAACTGCACTACAAAGATGTTATAAAATGAAGACAGTACAATCATGGAGCCCTAGTGATGTAGTGGTTAAGAGTTTGGCTGCTAACCAAAAGGTCAGCAGTTCAAATCCACCAGCCGCTCCTTGGAAGCAGTTCTACTCTGTCCCATAGGGTCGCTAGGAGTCAGAATTGACTTGATGGCAACGGGTTTGGTTTTGGTTTTGGTTTTAGTACAATCATCTTCCTAGGCTATCATTATAGTACCTTTGAGAAAGAGCAACATACAGAAGGTGTGTGCGTGTGTGTGTATGTGTGTGTGTGTGTGCGTGTGTGTGTGTGTGTATGTGTGTGTGTGGGAGGGTGTGTGTGTGTGGTTTTAGGGCAGGGGAGGGGGTGGCATATATCAAAAGGAATTAGAAGACATGCCCTCTGGGAAGACAAATCTCCATAAAAAAGATGACTCTCTCTTTAAACGCCTGTCAAATGAGTCATGTGTTACCAAAACCGGAAAAAAAAAAAAAAAGTTCTTCCTTTCATCTAACCTACAGCTTTCCTACAATCCAGTGTGTTATTTTATTGCTCTGATTTTGGGACTGCACCTAGGTTTCCAACAGTCCATTCAAGGATGGCTTTATGGTCAGAACAATGGGTGGTCTGGGAGAAGAATGAGTGGAAGGATGAGGGCTGGTGGATGGCGGTGGAGATGGTGACCCTTCTCAGAGCACAAAGGAAGGAGTTCCTTCTCCAGAAGACTAGGGCAAGGAGAGAAGGTGAGGCTCTCACCTGGTCAAGAAGCATCACGGAGGACTTGATGATCTCCCTCCATTTTTGGAGCTCAGTATCGTGGTACTTTTGTTGGGATTCTAAGAGCTGGGCCCATTCTGTCTGGGACTGGGGTAACCTGTGGGGCAGAAGAAGGGGCACCCCAGCAACTGGAGTTATGCTCAGTGGACTGCCCTGCGTTCCCAGACCCCTAAAGGGCAGAGAGTCACACCAGAGTGCTGTGCCCTCTGCTCACTGCTCCTGGTTCCCATGTCCCCCAAATCAGAAGTGGACTGAAACTATAGGAAGAGACCCTGAGAGGTTGCTGATCAGCTCAACCCAAAGGGTCATTCCCTGGGCAAGAGCGGCGGGGCAGTCCTGAGGGGACTGGGAGGCAAGAGCCAGCGCATAGTATTGGGGGGTGGGGTACAGGTGGTGGCAAGTGGAAGAAGCCAGGTTACCTTTCTTGGAGCCTAAGACCCTGCCAGGCAGTTAGGGTCTGGGTGGTGTATTCCAACATCCAGAGCTTGTAGAAGAGCATCATGTTCAGGATCACCAAGAGTACCAGACTAGGAAGGAGACATGGAAACAAAGCAACAGCAATGAGATGTGACCTGGGAGACCCTCTTCCCTCAAAAAGCCAGCCATGCCCCACCCCAGAGGCTGCCGTCCCTGACTACTGGGTCATCAGAAGCATTGCACTGAGTAAGTGATAAAGAGGTAGGTCATGAGGGGGAAAAAGGGGGAGGGGGAGAGAGAGAGAAGTACTCTAATAGGGAGGGGCCAGGACACAGCAATGAAGCCATGGAGAGGTGTGTAAGGTGAGGGAGCTGGTGATGAGGGACACACAAAAGTCAGCCAGAATCTGGGCTCCTGGGGAAAAAGAGGCAAGGTGGAGAGGAAAAGAGATGAGGGGGTAAAAGAAGTAATTACAGAGCCAGTACCTCAAACAGATCCTAGTGAGAGCAAGGAGGAAAAAGGGGTAGGAGGCAGAGGTTAGAAACAGACGAGTGTGGGGAAATGGAAAACTGAAGTAAAGCTGAGCCAGAAAGGAAGTGAGAGTATACGAGAAAGGGCTCCTAGAGGCCAAGATACAATGGATGAGGAGACCTGGCCAGGAAGGAACAAGAGAACGCACCTATAAACAGGCTCTTAGTGTTTCATGGATGCTGAAGCTAGAGAAGATTCCTCCTACCAACCCAACTTCAGGATACAACTGAGGATGATCTGGGGAGAAACCCCAGTGGGACCCCTAGCTCAGCCCCTAATGTTAGTAGAACTTCCCGAAAACTGCGAAGTCCCATTCTCCTGCACCTCCCACTGTTCTGCAGGGGGTCACAAGGAGCAGCTGACATCTCCCAGAGTCTGGCCTAGAACTGGGCAAAGATGGGGGGCAGGATAATCCGGGGCTGGGAAACCCAGTGTGGAAGGGAGACTCACTGAGAGGTTGGGGACACTCTCTCTTCTTGGACTCAGTGGCTCAGTCAAAAGAGCATTTTATGATAGAAGTTGACAGATGGAGAGATGAGGACACAGGTAAAGAGCAGTCGCAGACTCACACAGAATTGGGTACAAATCCTGGCCCATCACTTAAAAGTTCTTTACTTTTGATCAAGTTTCTTAACTTCTCTAAAACCCAGTTTCCTCAATAGGGACAATAATCCCTACCTACTGGAGTTGTTACATGGTTAAAAAAGCATGCATGTGCTCAACAGCGCACACAGCAGGCCCTCCACAAGAGGTCTTGGTCATTATTGCCATTAAAGGAGGAGGCACAGACATACATCAGAAAAGAGACAATGACAAAAGATAAGGAGGCAGAGCCAACATGGCGCTATAGACAAAAGCACCATGCCGTCCCTCCACAGCAAAGACCCAAAAAACTAAGTGGAACAGAGACAAAGGTCAATCCTGGAACCCTAAGCATCAAATGAAGAGATAAAGAACTCAACCAAGCATCGAATGGAATGGCAGAGAACAGAGAGCGAGGAGAGTTACAAGTGGACTTCCCTTATCAGCTAATGCAGCAAGGATCCACCATCTTGGACTCCTGTCAGAGACTGGCAGACAGGGAGTACAGGAAAGCAGATTTACGGAGCCCCCAGCAGGAGACAGAGCACCCGGTAATCAGTGATACACGCTTTCCCACCCCACACCCTGCCTCCGCCTGCTTGGCCTTTGTCGCTTCCCAGCGGGCCAGTCTGAGGCTTTCTGGCTGGCTGATCTGAGGCTTTCCCACAGGCCAATCTGCAGCTTCCGGATGGGCCAATTCACTGCTTCCCGGCGAGCCAATCCACTGCGTCCCAGCAGGCCTAGACCATGGCACAGGAGGCACCGGTTCCATGCCACACAGATTCGCCCTGCCCACACTGGCCAGCTTCTTCAGTAACATTTCTTTGTTGCTGGTGTTGCTTTTTTTGGCCTCTGTTGGTTTCTTCCCTGCCTCTCACCTCCTCCTCCTTTCTCTTGAACACTTGACTCCATGTGCCATCTTTGCTTCTTCTTGACAGGCTGTGAAGCACCACTTGGCTGGGGACCTGCTTCTCCGGTCCACGCCACCACACTCGTGGGATCCCTGGGGTTTTTTTTTTCTTTCCTTCTTTTTTTTTCTTTTTCTTTTTTTGTTTGTTTCCTCGTTCTTTTTTCCTTTTTCTTTTTCTTCATTTCTTGGTTTCTCATCTCTCTCTACTTACCTTGTTTTCCTGTCTCCTGAATACCTAGCACTGTGTATCATCTCCACCCCTTCTAGCCAGGCTGTACTGAGCAGCTTGGGAGCCACTTCCTTGGTCTGCACAGCTATACTGCTGAGATCCCTGGGGGCATTTCTTTTTCTTTTTTAAAATTTTTATTTATTCATTTTTTCCTTTTTGTTTTTCTTCATTTCTCAGTTCCTCGTCTCTCCATTCCAACAGCAGACTCCCTCAACACTTTTTTTTTTTTTTTGGCACCTACTTCTCTCGCCTCTCTATCCTCTTTCTCATACCCAACCTAGTTCCACACGTTACAAACTCCCTCTCCCCCTCCCTCCAGCCTATCTGCACTGTGTGCTGAACACTGCACTCCCGAGTAGCACAGAAACGACCTACTGGAACCTGCCCTGCACTCACCCCCACTCACCTTGTTGGCCCCAGTAAATGCCACAAAAAAACCCATTCAAGCTCCTCCCCTTCATCTGGACCTCCCCTACTGCACCACAGCTGAGCGACTAGCCCTGCCCATTGCACAAGGAGGTGAAAAATATTGTGTCCACAGATCAGCAAACAACAACGAACCCACAGATCAGCAAACAACAAAGAACGCACAGCCCACCAGCTCAGACATAACCAAATAAAACAAAAAAGAAGGATGAAACAAACAAATCTACAATCAACAAGCAAAGAAAATACTAAATGTCCCAAAGAAAGCAGACAATATCAAACA